ATATGTCCATTTTAGTATTTCAAACACATTTAAATACTCTAATGCATCAGGCTCCTTCAATTTGAATACCCTGAACGCATTAATGCAGAAAACTTCAAAGTTAATTACTTATATTCATCTTTGCGTCGGTTATTTATAAAAATAATAGCTCAATAATTTAGATTGGATCCAATATTTAATTAAATTATTTTAAGTGGATAGGTCTTCAATGGGCACATTTTCCATATTTACAAATGTATTTCGAATATCGATAACAAACAAATAAAAAATAAAATCAAAAAGAAAAAAGAATGCATCATTTGGATATTGTTAGAAAATTGTTGCTTGTAAAAACACTTTTGTTTAAGTTGATGAATAATAATATCTTGTTCTGAAACATTTTAGTAGATCTATCTGCTTTATAAATATATGTTATATCTGATCATGTATCTTACACAAAGTCTTGTCAACAACTTCCATATATAATTCTTTCTTAATTTGTTATCATTTCTAATATTGAATACTATAATGTTATTTATTCATTGTATTACAGACCTTCGATTATAGATCAATTTAAAAGATGGAGCACAGAAGTTATTTGTTATGGATCAAATGGACTTTTGGAAATGAAAAAGAAGCTTAGTCGATAAGATTTAATTAATTTGATAGATCACATGATGCAAACTCTTGAAGTTTTATGGTTACATTTTAAAATGTGCGAAATAATAACGTGTAGTACGTGTAATAACATGTACTCGGCGTAATGACGTGTAGTACATGTTATAACATGTAGTAATATGACGTGTAGTGACGATATTAGTGTTTTTGTTTGAATTATGCCGTCGCTTTGAACAAACTTTTAAATGGTCATCGTATCACCGTTATTGTTGCTCTTTTGATTTATTATAATAAAATAAGTACATTATGTTACTATTTTGTTTATTTACACTATTCTTTAAAACGAAAACGCCGGAGTGTATTTTCCTTTTTGATATTTTTTGAAAACAGTTTTTAGTCCAAATACATACAGTGAGCAAATACATAAAAGCAAAGAAAAGAAAGAAAGAAACATTATAAATATATACATTATATTGTCAATCGTCTTACAGATACGTCATATAATAGTGCATTTTGCACTTACGTCAGTACACTTCAATCCTTTCAAGGTGATCATGAATTCATTATTCAAGCATTTTACACTGCCAGAATTACCAATTTCTGTAAATAGTTTGTATGATTTCTTGTATTTGTTGAGGCCTGTCTATGTTTTCAAAACAAGTGTTTGTTAGTATAAACAAAACAATATAACCAGCAGTACACCGTGAATGCCCCCTGGTATCTTTAAGCATATAGCATTCTCAATCGTTAAGTATTGTGCATAAACGAAATTTGACTTGTTAATTTCTCACTAATTGTCTCGTAAACCAGGTTTTACATTCATAAGGCATTACATGCCCCAAATATGTTATACAATGCTTTGGGCACAAAATATAATATTGTTTGTTTCCCCTTTCGCTACTGTACCTAACCTCAAAAATCACTGCTACCAAAAATAGTTCATTGCAAAGAAAAAACAAAAACAACAACAACAACAACAACAAAACATCATTATTTGTTTACTATACATGGAAGCAGATTTTGTCAATCAGAATCCCATCTTTATATCTATCTCATGTTTTTTTTTACATTGTATATACATGTATATACAAGATGGGATAAAAACTGAATTAAACTTAGAAACTTTGGCTTTAATTTTTTAAGCATGCACATTTTTTTTAAATCCATATAATTCAGATTCATATAATAATTATGTTCAGTAACAGAAATGTTTTTATATGTAACAGTTTACCTATCTACCTACCCAAACGTACATGTGCTGCAGGAGGGGAAGCAAAGATCATTAAAAGTTGACCTTTGAGGAAGATTCGCCAATATGGAAACATACTTCATGCGTGAATACATCAGGACTAAATTTGTTATAATAAATATTAATAAAGATTATGCTTCCTGCAAAATACTATTAAAATAAACATTGACTCCCCTTCATTTAATCTAGTCTTTATTGTTATATTTGGCCACTGGAATCATAGAACTAAATGTAGCCATTCAGTGGCTACTGAAAGCGGAACTTCTTTAAATCTTTTCGCGAAACATATCACGTATCAATTTTATTAGTAACAACCCGCACACTTATTTTATTAGTATCAAACCACGCGCGCATTCATTAAAGAGATATCATGTAATAACAACCACTATAAAGAAGTGTATTGACGACTGCAAATGTAAATTATGTGTTTTCTTGATATGATATCTGTTTAGTCGATCTTCTGTTACCATTTTTTGTTCCATATTTACTTTCTACCTATAACTGCACAGCAGAAACCATCTTCTATGACGTCGTGTAGGTTTTACGAACTATTGAGAATTAGTAAAAACATTGCACACGAAGATTACATTTTCCATTATTACAAAATATATGTTAGTGCCTTCGTGATGTGTCCCATTTTCTCAATGCACAGAATGGGTTTCTTTGCAAAAAATATCCTATAAGAAACGTATTTGCATAAAACCACATGGTTGTGATAAGAATGATAATACTTTAAGCTCAGTAAAACACTACATTTTGTTTCTGTTCTGATTAAGGGTATAAATCTATATCTTATGAAATTTTTTTATAAAATTTATCAACAGTAAAATTATATTGGTTCCATTATTATATGGTTGATTTCCAAAATAGTTGTAACATAGAATGGCTCTGTTATTTAACACACATGAAAAATGTGCGTAAACAGATTCAAATGTTCCGGAACAAATTATTATTTTGCTTTTTCAAGTAGGGCTTTATCCGTTTAGCATGACTTTGTGCACGCGCCATTCGCTTTTAGGTAATTTATTGCCATTTATATTTCATACAAGCATTTTGGAAGCATTCTTTTTTTTTAAATCTTAACAATAATTTTTGCATCAGATATATAGCTTTATACACTTTAAATCATTGATGAAATAAGAATAACAGCAACAACAACAACAAACAAAAAAACAAAAAAACGAAGAAATTCTATACAATGAAGTTGATCAGTAAAAAGAATCGGCGTTGACAAACGACTGTTTTCACTTGTGGCAGGATAAGATCAGAAAATATGATTGAAAATCACAAATGGCTACTGTGTACATGCTGCTTTAATTATATTTCTAGACACCTGTGGACTTGACAGATCTTGTTTTATTTAGCATCTCTGCATCGAGTTTATACTTATGTTTCAATGCCGAAATTATTGTACCAAATTTCAATGTCCAGTTGTCATAATTATCATGGGATTAACGCCGTAGGCAGATATATGCCACCTAAACACACACCGAGTATTATCTAATATACATGTAAATAACACGTCAGGTTTTAGAAATGTCACTTTTTATCAATTTGCAATGCAAATATCTGTATTGAGATACTACCTACTGTTGTTATAATCAGAGACATAGTTATCTACATCCCTGTTATAATTTAAAATAAAAAAATGAAGAAAATAAAAAATGAAGAAATATATATACAATTCCACGGATGCCGAAAACAAAGCTTTATATAAAGTAATCATAACTGATTTATGATGTTTTGATTTAACCTTGGATTAAAAAGAATTATTTATTGTCAAATGTAATAACCGATATCTGCACAAAATATGATGTAACAGAAAATAGGAGAAATTTATCATTTAATGTGTACATAGAAAATCTGCTATTCAGCTGCAAATAAAAGTATCTATCTGTCTTGTTCACAGAATCATAATCACAATGTCACATTACATATATGTTTATGTGATTAATAAGTAAATTAATAAAATGAAATCTCAACTGAATAAAATCATATCAATTTTATGCTGGTTATCTTGAAATTAAGTACTACTTTTGATTTCAGACGGTTCTATTTTATGATATAATATATTCACAAATATTTGGTGTACTTTTGTGATTGCGAACATAGGCAGATTATTCACAATTCTAAAGAAAACAATCATATATCTAAATAAAGAAACCTGCTTGTGCTTTATACCACAAATGAATATATAATGTCACAGAGCTATATTCAAAAAGTATTTGCTTATGATAGGTACATGTAAATGACGGTAATTTAAAAAAAGAAAGAAATGATATACAATAATACATACATCGTATTAAATACACATTTTCTGGCTAGATTTTTTTATATTTTAGTAGGGTTATCCTTTATGTATGTATAATAAGTAACGCATATATTTAATACCTTTACAGAAGTAAAAAAAAATATCTATATACTTACAGATTGGACAAGTTTATGTTGTCGTGGCTTACGGATTTTTATAATAACATACACGTCTAAAAGAATAGTACTACAAAAGTATTCATTGTAACAGTTCACGTTTGGCCATATTCTAAATTAAAAAAAAATGGTTACGGTCAGTCATGACTTCATTAGCGAAGTTTATTATAACAAACTAAGATACCAAAAACCTGTTTTATTTCGTAAGAAAAACGTAGTTCTCTTTTCATTTTCATTCTCGTATATGAAGAATGGTGAACTTTGAACAAGTTGTTTTACTATATTTTAATGTGTTGCTTAATTAATAGTACAGACGCTCTTAACATGTAGAGCAGACGACTCGACAGTCTAATCAATGAATCGTTTCTCTTTGAAAAAGACTATATTTCTGACATGTGATTCAAAATGGCTGCAGTCGAACTTTTCATGGGACGTCCAACGGGGAACAGATTGTTAAAGATTACATCTGTTTCTGATGCAAGAATTGTCCGATTAACATTTCAATTAAGCTAATCGTAGTCAATAAGACGTAACTAATTAACCCAATCATAGATAATCGACAGAAAAGATGTCCTACTGTGCACACGCGCGTGAACCAGCTGACTTCCGGTGAGACGCTGTGCATAATGTTTCCCTGCCAGGCGCCTCAATTTGCAGACTCCCACAGAGATTACTCTTATCCTATATGGTAAATGTAGATAGCGCCAGCCAACCTTCTTGGGGTAGGTATTGTGACGTCACACTAGGTAGGTATCAACAAATAAATGAGATGGTAGGTTTCACTTTCGTAGTTATCTTCGTGTAGCTCGGTCGAGGTGTTTAGTTGAGAGGCTGCTCTTGGATTGTTAGTCAGTTTTTCTGTTAGGGTAACTTAAACAAAAGGTAAGAATATTTATAATAATACTGTAAAACATTGTTTTATACATGACACTTGCTTTTAAATATATTTGTGTTATTATTGTATAAAATTCTTTACTGGTCGATTGATGGTAAATCTTAGATGAACTCGACTATTTTTGTAACTTTTTGGTAATCTATGAATTAGTATAATGTATAAGCTTTTTGAAACAATAGTAACACATATATGTTTATTTGTTTTGCTGAAACTGACTAAACTAACATCAACATTTAGTTAATCTTTACACGAGATTTAGTTATGATCTTTAAAAATAAGAAACGTTTTATGTTTACAAGTGCGCTTAGTTTGATATAAAACTGTAACCTATGCTATGAATTCTGTTGCCATAAGCTATTTAGATTTTACTTACATCTCGGGAAGCATGCATTCTTAGAGCGAGTAAATCGTTTTTATATCTTATACATGACTGAGCAACATAGATGTTCTGCAATCACCTGTTTAATTAATTCAAAATGGCGGACTGCAGGTAGATCACTTTACAATGCATGTCGGGAATTATATATACTACTCGCAGTGCATTATGAGGCCCGATCTCTCCTTAAGACACAACGTTATTAAGACACAATAAATCTATAGAACAAATTGAACTGATACATTGTTATGTAGCATATTGTAACAATTTACTGCGCTCGTTGATAAATCATATTCAGCATGACTGTAATCTAATGACCGAGATTTTCTTGCTACAAAATTGGCTCATAGTGTTACAGAACAGATATAAGAATGAGTTCAGCTTTGTATTGTACTTATACGTGATAATTTATTACATAAAGTAATAAAAAGAAACGCTGAGCAAAATAACATGAATGAGGGATTCTGGGAAAAGCAGTCGGATTTACAGGTATCACGTAACATTGTTCTAAAAAAAGAATATAGAACGAGATTTCGAACTCTCGCGAGATCGTTCGGTGTAATGTATATACTCACATATATACCTGTGCGTAATTACGGGACAATAGGTAAATCAAGAACACATGTTATCGATTTTTCCTGGAATGATAAACCTGCGTATAGAGAAAAAATATGATAGTCTGCTAATGAAAGCCTGCAACTGTTTAGTTTGCTGATAAGCGATATGGCGGGATACATTCCTGCGCGATCGATTGATCACACGTCTATCATATAGCGATTGGTTAACCAACATATGTTCAATAATTGATCTGATGCTGAAAGAAAGATAATAAAATAAAAATATTACTAAATCGAATCTAATCAAATGACGAAAGAATAAATTAAATTATTTACACACATTAACGATTCATGTATGGATTTTTGGTTATATCCTATGTTTTACATCCTAAAAACTTCAGGTCTTGATGTTTTTAAAATGATACATAAAATTTTAATAAACGTGTTTATTTTTACAAAAAAAATCAGTCATAGCGTTACTTTCTATTCGAAGCAAATAAAATACTCTTTCAGTTTGTTGACACACCCGATTAAGAAGTAGATACATAGTGTGTTAAAGGGTGTACAACATATTATGTTTTAAATATAATTGATAAATCATAATATAGGAAAATTATTGATACCACAATATGAGTGATTATGTATAAAAGTTCACACGGTGACGGGCCTCTCGTAAATAGAACAGTAGTTGAATGGCGATGCCCCTGCTGTTTCAAGCAGTGTAGTATATTTTCCGCGTAACGTTGGCAACGAAGTAGTACTGCCAAAGTATTTTTGATTTTCCAGGTGCTGATTATGTACGCTATAGTCCATTTCAAAGTATGCGTTTTATATGCCTAATATTTCTCATAACAGAGAGGTGCAGTTTAAGATAATATAGAAATGCATTTTACCTTCATTTTAAAAGTAGGGCAAAGACTAAGGTGATATGAAGTTTGAAATGTCTCATAAGGGTTTCGTTTATATAGTTCGCATGAAACAATCTCAGTATGATATTTCAGACAGATTTTGTCCTCTCTGTGAGGCATGTAAGTTCATCAAGTGTAATTATTTGTTTGTTGTCAATAAATGCATCGAAATGTCAATATAGAATAGATTGTAAATAAATATATAACATACGTAAGGAGGGCAATACTTCTAAGATGAAATTAGTGCTGTTATCTACTCAGTTCATAATAAGGATAATTTGTCAGTCGTTTAGATATAAAATGTAGTTACATGAAGAATAAGCTGACAACAGCACCAAATATTAGTATGTCTGCAAACTTTTTATTGAGCTGCTAAGAGTGAATTACAATAAAGTACACGTTTAAAAAATCGTAAAAGAAAATTAGTGTTAGGCACATGTTTATGCAGCCTCTGTAATTATTTCTCATCATAACCTACGCCTGTTTTGTTTTTTCTATATGTTGGTTTCTTTCAAGAAATTCATCTTTTGGCAGTCGTGTGGCTTACTTTCTGTGTAATGTTAATACACAGGCTACTTAACATACAGGCTAACTAGGCCTTTAAAAAAGTCTGGTCGTTTAAAGAAATATTTGATATAAAACTGACAAGTTGGAACAAATAATATACAAATGAACTGCTGAGTAGACAATATGGATGTATGGAAAACATCATAATATAGCAGGTATAAAAACACAAGACTGTTTCTTCTATAGATTACATCCGACATACCTTTAGTTTGTAAGCTGGAAAATCTCCAAACCTTATTCCTGGCTACAGAAATTTATCTGCAACACTTGTGATTCTATCTAAATCTAAACTTGGCACATACTTTTAATACTTTTTAGTTTGAACGGCATGTATTTTTCTAAAATGATATTTCCAGTTCTTGATTCATTATTGGCTATAAAGACTTGCTAACGTTTCTTACAGCCCGGATCTGAATTTGATATTGGCTGAATCACAGTTTTCTTAATTGTTATTACAAATCTACAAAGCTTTTAAACTCATGATGAAAATACAAGTAATCTTCAACGTAATTCTTTTCTACTTTATTTAGTTGCCTAGAGCTAATTTACGTAAGATGCGCTCTTTATTCGGTTTCAAGGAGCGATCTTCAACTAATCATGTAGAATCTTGTTGAAAATAAGAATTCGTAATTTTCTATCTGTAATCAAGGTATTGAGTACTGTAAGAAGAGAATACTAATATACAATGATAATTGAACTGTAATTAAAGCTTTAGTTGGGCTGTTTGTGTCGTTTAATTTCGTGTTAGCGTTCATATAAAGAAAGAGAATAAAACTTTGAACTTGTAAATGTCAGGTCATGAAAAGTCTAAGCTCGACTAGTCTGCCATGTACAACGGGGCTTAGTATCTTATGGACTATTGGACTTGATCATCTCTGGGCAAAACCATGGTTTTTTTAGGGGGGGGGGGGGGGGGGGTTACCGGTAATTTCAAAATAAGTAAGTGTAGACCAGTTCTTTTTGATTTTGGTCTCCTCTGGCAGTATAGGTAGAATCCAGCAGGCTAAGGTCTACTCATGTTGTTTTCCCCTTATTGTAACTATACCACCAGTTTTAACGGATCATTAGAGCAGATATATTTACTGATACGCCATCAATCATGTTAACTACCTGGAAAGTATTTCAAAGACAGGCATCCAGTTAAAATGTACAATGTGCAGTTGCCAACTCGTCTCTACATTAATACAAGTAATTAGCGTAATTTGTGTTCAAAATGGCATCTGGTTGAAACTCTTTTATATATCAGAATTCGAAGCGTTAAGGACATTAATATTACCAATTTGCAAATTAAGAGATACTTTATGAAAATGTTAATATCAAATGTAATATGGCACTAAACACGTTAAGAAAGTTTGTTTTTCAAGTCAATGTTCGGCGTTCCAACTTTATGCTTTTTTCTATGACATGATACTATGATATTTTGTATCGTATATAACAGATAAGTACAAAAAACCGCCATTCAGATATGTTATGATAAGATGTGTGTTAGAGTTTATAGTCGGGTTATATAACTGTGCTTTTTATTGAGGTTTTATTGCGTGTTCAGCTTCCAGGTAAAGAGTGATGTGTGGGAGGAAAAATTTACCTGTGAAACCTTACATCTATTATGACATACATAAAGTAATTCCTTTATAATGCTTAACTAGCAGAAAATGCGCCACATTACACGAAAAATGCCACAACATGTCACCGCAATTGCATTTAAAATGGCAAAACGTTATTTTGCGTATAGGCAATTGCTAAATGACAGATTCATAATTTGATAAATCACATTACATATCAAGTTTGTATTAAAGAGTTAAGAAAAAACGAAAGAGAATCCTTGTTTGTTATTGTCTAACTAATATATTAAGTAAAATGTTATGTTATGTAATGTTTAGAATGCTTTAATGTGTTATGCTTTGTAATCAAATCGGTATTGTTCATTCATTTTAAAGCTAAAGTAAAATCTTTTTAAGATTATAGTAATTATATAAATATTGTTTTATAGATTGTCAAAATGAAGCTTTAGAAATGTAAAATTTTTAATTTTACAAATGTAAATTTTGCTGATATATTATGTTTTGTACAGTCATCAGAATTCATATTGTCAGCCTTTGACATGTGCATGACGTGTACAGTATATAAAATGTTTGTATATAGGGATAATATAATATTAACATATTTCTCCTTGTATATTTCAGAGTCATCATGTCCGACGATGTAAGTAATATTTCCTTCTTTATAATGTCAGGTTTTTGTGATTAGACACAATATATTTGTAAAGATCAAATTACATTGAAATTTTAGAATAATGGGTATACTGTATATACAAACACTTCTTTGTGAGTTATATCATTTTAACTGATCAGTCTGAATTAAAATCTAAGTTTAAAACCACTTTCTGTTTAATACCTTGAATTTATTCAATTTTTTGTAGTTAAGCAGAAGTGCATGCACACGCGTATTTACTTGGATTTATTGCAGGTTTTATATCATTATTTGATGAAACAGAAACATTTTATTATCATCTTCTGTTCAGTTGTTTTACAGAGTATAATGCCAGGTGTTTTATCAGCATAAATTATGTTGTAACATGTCGGGAAGAACTCGTGCATGTTTGGCTGGAAAATAAACATTTTATCATTATTAATCAAGACGGAGTATTGTAAATATCGTTCAGCTCCGAGATTTTATCTTCTGTCAGGATTATGATAAGAGTTTGCACTCCACCAAACATTCTCTGAAATTACGTGCTCTTTTTTCACTTATAAACTCGTATATATTCGTCATTTCATAACTAGTTTACTGGTCAACAATACTGTAATCTCAATTGAGAAATGTTTTTTACAAAACAAAGATTAGACGAACACACTTGCTAAGCTCCCTCTTTGTTCATTTACATTTCTTTATTTTATTTCCTTACAAAATGCTACGAACGCATGATCTTTATCTTGTATGAAATGCAAGCGTCTAGCGTCTTGGAATTTGGAGATCAAAAATAAGTGCAATTACAGTCATGTTTAAGACTATATCAGAAATTACATCGAGAGTAAGCCTTGGAAAATTTGGAACCAGTTCAACACAATCTTTAAGATAATCTCCGGCTGGGTTGAATATTGTGATGAACCGTTCTGTTTTTGTCTTATACAAGATATCATATGAAATAGAAGATGCATAATGGGCAAATGATATGATAGTTTTCAATTATCAGCTATGCACTTGAAATATGTTCTTTTTATAACAAATCAAGCAGTTCGGTATTAAATCTACCTGAAATTAACTATAGTTGCTATATTTTATCACAGATGGTAGTAAAAATTAATGATATTACGACATTTTTTGGGGTGAATTGATTAGGTTTTCTGCTAAAAAAGCATTGACTAATGGACTATATAAGTATAACGATAGGTACTTGATGTGTTGCCCTGGCGGCAGGAAGGTGTGGTTAAACAAAACATATCAACTGCTCACTCACTTTACTACCATTGTATCTACAGAAAGAGAAGAAGTCCGGCAAGAAAGCAACGTCGAACGTATTTACAAAATTACCGCAGAAACTAATGCAAGAAATGAAAGAGGTATGCTTGTCATAGCAGTAGAAGATATGAGTGATGTAACAAACGTAGCTAATCATTCACATGATCTTCTTTTCAGAAAAAAGCCAAGGCCGCTACCTCAAGCGTACTCACAAAATTCACCCAAAATCAAATCCAGGAAATGAAAGAGGTTCGAATTAAATGAAATAGTCGTGGTTAACCCTGCAATGTTTCGTTTTTAGTCTATTCTTTCTTCTTTTTTTCACAGCATGGCTGACTATACACACACTGGCTGCCATTTTATTTCCGTTGTGATGTCACACGTGATGTCACTTACTGTTATTCCACGAGCACCTGTTTTATTAACATGATCTTTTGTTACTAAAATAAAATGCTTTTTACTAAATGAATCCTACTCGAGAAATATTCCTTTCCTTTTCCAACCATTTCTTGACCGTTCCTCTTACTGTAACTATGTTTATATGACGTTATTTGTTTACCAATAACAATAATTAAGATCTATTTCCATTTTAACATAATCCATTAATCTTTTCCACTCTTCATTGTTTCACCGCTCTACTGTTTCAATGTTTTCTGAACATTTGTATTACTTTAACTATTCTGTCAATTTGAAATGTTCTAATAGTTTGAAGTGAATTATTAACAACAATAACACACACTAGTGTGGACATGCATTTGGGTATAGTAATCAGTTGTATAAATTATGAACCATGGTTTCCCGAAAAAATCTGTATTCGAGTTTCTGCTTTTGATTGAATTATTTTCTTAATTTCAAAACCCCAGATGACATGTCCACATTAAGTGCACTAGATCGGTTTATTCTTTATTGTTTATTTTATGTTGAAACTATTTTTCATATAAATTATAAAGCATATATATCAATTTCTGCTTGAATACATACATGTATATAAACTTTCATGTGATTTTGTTCAAATTTGTTTGTACACGGAAATACAATGTTCAATTAAAAGAAGAAAAAAACACAGTAATTTTGTCGTATACATATGTAAACTATTTATCATAGCGGTAAGCGTTGATTATCTTAAGTCTCAATGAAATGTTTTGAAAGCTTTACTTATTAGATTACGTTATTATGTTATAACAAAATAAACGTGCACGAAAAGCTGCATTTGTTGAAAAAAACGTGTTATCATTACGTGCACTGTTCACACTTCAGGCTTTCACAATGATTGATCAAAACAGAGACGGTCTCATTGATGTAAGTGATCTCAAGGAAATGTATTCAAATTTAGGTAAGTACATATACATGTCTCTATTTTACAAATTTGTGAGATTTTATTTACACAAAATCATCGAAAAATATCAATAAAACCGTTTTCGGTCACTTTTAAAAGATGTTTTAATATGTAATTTTGATAATGTTTAAATATATTTATTTAATGTTTTTTAATGAGTTTATTAAAAATGCTTTGTTTCAGCGTTATAGTATATTGGTCTAGGACATGGTCCGTTGTTGAAGGATGAATTTTTAACATATGTACATGTATAGTAAATTACCAGTATATTGGAATTGACCGATTTATAAACCAAAACGGTTCTACTGTATTGCAATTGTCCGATGTCTGCAAAGGATTTATATAGATGCCATTGGTACAAATAATCTTTTTAAACTAGTGAAAACTGGAATTGTTATTTCTTGTGTCGTGTTGTATGATTATACATGTAGGTGTGTGTTTTCCCGAGCAGTGGACGAGAATAGTTTTTTACCTTCTGTGTGAAATTTCCCTGATATTGCTATTAAACATTTTGCTTTATGAATACTTTTACCTTAATATGGACAACAAGTATATAGTCATTTTACCCAATGTGTGGCAAATCCCGACTTACTTCCCCATTTTAACTGTGTAATAAAAAAGATTGTATAATATATTAATTTCACCTTATTTCGATAACTTCCAAATTCAGCTACATACAAAATAATGCTACGGGTGACACTCATGTACCTCTAAATTAGCATAAAACAAATACATTTACGTGCATATAAAGACTGTTTGCTCTTAAACAATATTTTTTATATTCTGAAAACGGTAGACAAAACCATCTTTACGCCCAATAAAAAGGGGCTAATGAATTTCAATATGAAACGTAGGGTAAAACGTTTTCCTGTTCATCTCTCAGGGACTTGTAAATAAATGTTATGAGAGACATATTAGAAACTTGAATCTTGTTTCAAATCGGCGGAAAAAAAATCCTAAGTCTGGACTCTTGATCGCGAAAAGAGACTTAAGCATTTTCATATCGATTGCATATTGTTTACTTCTGTTTTGGAAATCTCTACCACGAAAAGTAATTGAATGCAGTTTGTTTTTTATCTTTTTAATGTGCATAATAGGTTTATCACCCCAAGATAAGATACTGCAAGACATGGTTAAAGAGGCTCCCGGTCAGCTCAATTTTACCATGTTCCTATCATTATTTAGTGAAAAATTGAGTGGTGAGTATACGAGAGGTGGACATAAAAGAGAAGCACGTGACGCACGCACGAGGAATGCATAGTGCAACTTAGAAAATCATAGACGCTATGAATGTATTTCAGTTAGCTACATGTAGACCATGCATCGAGAGTACCGGATATACCACTGTATTCTATCATTGTTGTATTATATAGTCACTGTATCTATGTAGAATAGTTGTAACACAGCCGTAGATTGTCACCATGCCTTTCTCATTATTTTTTCTCTTCTTTTCTTAACGATAACAGATGGGAATGCTTCTTATATCCAATTATATTTTTTTGTGTGTACATGGTGCCAAATTCTAACTCAGAAATTATAACCTAAAAATAGAAAGAAGCTGAATAAATGAAAGCATACAGGTACTGTACAGGGAACGACCTTCAAACAATGAAAGCATGGTGGATTCTAAATGTGCATCAGTTACTAATATATATAGAAGGTGACGACTGTTATTTGCAGGCTCGATCCCAGGTGATACCGTCTTGGAATCGATGGTGAAAGAGGCTCCTGGCAACCAGTTAAATTTCACTGCTTTCTTAAGTATATTTAGCGACAAGCTAAGTGGTGAGTACAAGAAACGACGTCATTTTGTGTGATGTTAAACTGTGAATAACATGTTTCATATTATCTTTGTTCATAGGAGCTTGCCCTCAGGATAGCGTTCTTCAAGCCATGGTAAAGGAAGCCACACAATTAAATTTCACTGGTTTCTTAAACTTGTTTAGTGAAAAAATGAGCGGTAAGTTTAGAGTTACCGCCCCTTAACCCTGGATTCCCGGATGTGCAATGGGAGAACACGAGTTAAATCCCCAACACCTGTGAGAACCAGTCACTGTACTTTATCTAACCAAATGCACTTCCTATAATTCCTCTTATTGTAACAATACCGACCTAGTTCCACCAACCAGCAGTATATTTAACTGTTGATTAATGTCTCTATCAACCTATGATACTTCAGCTTCTTACTTAAAAAAAGCCTATTTTATAGATACTTTTTGAATGCACGCACACACAAATGTCTCTTGGCTACACTTTTATTGGCTGTGGTAAAATTGTTCGAAATTTTGATTTAAAGAGATATTGCTAAGTAGCATTCAAACAGTATCTATATCCATTTATTTATTTACTTTTATTTTATTTTACATTTTTTACGCATAATAACTCACCGTGCAGATATATATATTGTTATAACACCGCTAACTTTGAATTGTTGTTTCTTTAACGCGTTCATTTATTTCGTTTATTTTATTGTTTCATTTTTAGTTTCATATAGTACATAGCTCATGGCATTTACTCAATATTGACCTCTGTAATGCTATTTACCAATGTTCAGGAGAACCTCTCTTTGTTCTAATTAAATAACTTAATATTTAGTATTCGATTAAATTTGTTAATTAAGTGAGATATTGAGTATATGCCAATGTTATTTCACATACTGTGCATATTACATATTAATTATTAATTATATGTTGTCATTTTATACTCTCGTTTTTTATATCGCCAATTTAAAGAAAGTCTGATATATATGTCAAATGCTGCATTTCCGAAAATGCTGGTCGATATTGTTAATGCATAGCAGTATTTGAAAGACTTTTACTTTTATGATGACTATGATGCTTCAAGTATTGAACCTGCAATGTTGTGTCAAGCTTACCTAACTTCTTTTATCTATTATGATCTACAAGATTTATTCTTCTGACAGTCTGCCGTGTCAGGTCATACAGAATTACAAAGAACGATGTTCATATTTGAGAGTTAACTAATTTTCAAAAAAGCCAAGGTCTTGTACCATTGCCTTGTTGCAGGCCGATATTTTATTTTTAATTCAAATACACATGTGGCAGCTTTCCATATTATTAAGTGCTGTTTCCGTTATTTCTTATTGCTTTATTTTCATTTTTATCACTATATTTGTAAATTGATCACAGAGGCAAACATACCAGTAAACAAAACAACTATATTTGACCGAAATAAATGTTAACATTTACACATATACTGTCAACAGGTACCGACCCAGAAGAAACCTTGAGACAAGCTTTCCAAATGTTCGACGCTGATAATACTGGATATATCCCAGAGGAATAGTGAGTTATTCTAGACTATTTATATATAAATCTCTTAATATAAAAAACACCTAAAATGTTATAGGCACTATAATATGTTTTTGTCTGATAAAATAATAGAGTATAAACTTCATTTTGAATGTTTTATAGTAAAATAAACGGAATCTGCGACTATTCTCTACTCTTATCTAGAAACTAAAATATATTAATCACAGTGTCTTGCGAATCAGTTTTTTCAGCTTTATATACTTATTTGCGCTTTAGGCATAAATTATCAATGTATTCTTCCTTTTTCAGCATGAAAGATTTACTAGAAAATATGGGTGATAACTTCTCAAAAGATGAGGTAAATATTTTATCATTTTCAAAGTTGGCACTTATATGTAATCATAGATTCTTTTGAAAGCTCAGTGATCTTGTCATGTTCACAAAATAGAAATCTACGTAATGTATGTGAACGACTCTGATGATTCTCAAACGATTATTATATGACTTTGGTTCTGTACGATGGTTCACTAACAAAACCAAAATGAGAAATACATTGTTAAGACTAGTCATTGAAGAGGTGTATACATGCATTCTTTGTGTGTGTATGCTAATTATTTAGGCATTAACAAATTAGTTAGGGTAACAAGAAATGCTCGTAAAGAGTTAATTGATTGTGCTATACGCACTGATGTTTATTGCTGGCACACGTTTCAATTAGTCAGCATGTACGTTTCTGCTGATATGTCTTTTCCGTCATTCGTGAACAATGTATGTTTAACGTCATATTCCAATATATCCGGAGAAGATAAGCATTATTCTACACCTGTTTATTGTGAATTTTATTCTAAATATATTTGTTGTTTTACTGTTAACCTTTGGCATATATTGCACACTAAAAATCATTTTAAGAGTATTGTCCAATCGGAATATCATAGATCTAATTGAGCGTGGGTTTTGTAAATTAACGTTAGTGAACGTATAATAGGGAATATTATGCCAGTTATTTAATCAGAATTATCAAACACTCTTATATCAAGGACATCATAATGATAAACTCATTTGGATACTCAAACAAATAGTATTTGTAGACAAAGAACTCATTTAGCATCAATTACTTGTATAATGTAATAGGAAAGGTACAAATTGTTAATGAACACATGTAGGAATGATCGTATGTTAGATTATATTTATGAACATTATGGCAACGTGCCATTATGACGGTGCATTACGCCATAATACATTACCTAGCGCTGATAGAGTCGGCTTCTTGTAAGACATATGTATGATACCACAATACATGAAAACGGCATGCCTCTAGATCTAATGAGTGATAAGATCCATGATGAAAATAAGTGTATTTATATTGAACTAAATTAGACCAGACAAGGAGTCAATGCCCGGATATATTTCCCCTGCCAACACATCAGATAAATCCGCTGATTTATAACATTCTTAATATGATTCTAGACTTAGTGGGCCATAAGTATTGAATGTTAAAATCCAAAAAAATATATCCATTATGATAATATGCCCTTTGTAAACTGTGTTAACTTCACTTCATTTCAAGCAACTTTCTTTAAACTAAATACGGAGATACTGATTTTATCAATTAATTATTGAACGTGCTGTTAACATACGCGATGAAGGAGTGGAATTTAAGCCAAAAGGTTAACAAATTTAACTAGTTAAAAAGATTGAATCAAGTAGCTAATTTTCCACAACCTATTTTCTAACATACTTGTCATTTGATTTACAGATTAGACAGACCTGGAAGGAAGCCCCAATCAGTGGTGGAAAGGTCGACTATAATGCATTCGTAGCCAAAATCAAGGGTAAGGAACAGGAAGAGGCATAAGCAACACGTGATCATGGGCAGCCAATCAACATTTAACACCAAGTTACCACCCCTTTTGTGTGACTCTAACAGTGCACATTACCCATTTAGAGATAAAATCATCGACCAATAAAACGGCTACACGAAACTCATATAGAGTCACGTGGTAAAGGGGTGGAACTACTTTTTCTTCGTCAACAAACTCATTTTACACCGTGTCAATACTTAAGTCAACCGGGCCAAAGAGCGCAATCATTCCAATACCGCAAAATTGTTAGGAGAAAGAAAGCAGGACGATAGACCCTTCAGACCGGAGTATTCTAACCGGCGACTGTATATTTGTTACCCTCTCTTCTATGAACACATCATGAAACAGAATGTTGGAAATGTTTAGTTCAACGTCAGTTTGTCGCTATGGAGATATGGATAATGCAGATGGACAGTCAGTTGGTAAAGTGATTTGGCAACACCTCGTCAATAAATCGGTTTGAAGCTGATAATTACTCCCCGCTGACAGTGGTTGTACAACCTCTGTGAGCAATTGTTAACTTTATCTGTTGGCCCGGTTTGCTTTGGTAACTCGAGACGCATACATACACACAAGATGCCATTGCCGAATATAGATTCTCGGCTCTGGTTCCCGCTTACCTGTAGAAATAACCGCCTACGCGGTCTGTTACGTGTACTGGTTCCCATCACAGGTAACTTCTCACAGGTAATCGATAAACACAGAGCCGAGATCACGGCAGAATGTGATGTACACAGTGGTTATTAATAGATCCTGACAAATATACAAAAATTACCATGTGTTTTTACTCAGAAATAATACATACCTATGTTAACTGACTTATACCTCTAAAAAATCTTGTAACATTGTACATTAATGATTGATATGACTGATGGGGTTGCACACATGGTGCTTGTGATACTCAATTATGCCTAGCAAGGTTACTACAGTCTTGATGTGTTACATAAAATAATATATTTGTAGTTTTACAAAATGTATAGATGAGTATTAATAATTTAATCGAGCGATGCAAATGCGCATGTACCTGTCGTTTCATGTTGATATTCTTGATTAATTTGTATTTATTGATGATTTTAATTTATAAATTTTGTAATGTTTATCTTCTTTATTTACCAAAGACTGTCACGTGCGTTTCTCACGTGATAAGTCTCCTTGCTATTTGCAGTAGACAAGTACTTGACTCTACAACGGTTGCGATACATACTCGAGTTATCAAATCGAACACAACCTTAAACGCGAGTCCCGCTGTTAAGCCGCTAAAACATCGTGGCGGTGATATTTATATTAAATGTTAATTGTTATAAATGAATAGAAGTATAAGGTTGTCTTCGTTTGATAGAAGTTGGTGGCTTATATATGTGGACCGAGTTCGATATGTGGACACCTGCGTGGTGTAGCGCGATATCGAATGCTGACATCTACATATATGACGTCATTTATAGAGTACGTATCACTTCCGGACCTAACTCCCAGAGTGGATTGTTCCTGTGTATATTTATTTAATAAAACCTCTGTGCACAGACAAATATTTGGTTTTGGTTTTTCTTAGAAAATGAATGAAATATGTAATGCCGTATTAACTCATAGTTGTGTTTGTAAACTGTTATCAATTTCAAAGCAGTACACTGCCCATATGAAACAGGAAAGTTTGAATCAAACATGACTTTAGTTTGCATTTCTAGTAGGAAAACCGAGTTTGAAAAGGTTTTGACGAATACAAGATAATCAGTAATTTCGACAAGTTAACCTTTCGAAAATGACAACAATTTACATACACAACTATGTCGCGATGCCATTTGTCAACCTTTAGCCTGGGATGGCCTGGTATCCACTTAACAGACATTATTAAATTGTTTGTTAAATTTTAGATCAAATCACGTATTTTTGTACAAAAAGTTCATGATAGCCAAGAAAGTTACTACTTATTGCCTGAAATATGCTACCAAGGGGATTAAGATATTCTTTAATGGGCGATACCCCGAATGCATTGAATCAACAACTTAACTAAGTAGATCTAGTCGGAAATTGAACTTCTGATAAAAAGGAATGATGTCAAAATGTAAACTTATTGTCTTTCACCAGTGCACTCACTATACACCCTAGGGTGGGCATAATGTCCCTTTAATGAAACAGAGCTTGGAATTAAAATGAGCGTTTCAAATTCATTGGGGGAAAAAACTCACCGTCCATTTACCGATTAAATTTGACTTTAAGTTCATGTTGCATATGAGTGATTGGCTCTGGGTTTTATTTCATTAGAACAGCTTCCCTTACAAGTAATTCATGATGAACAATACCGAGAATATTGATAATCATTGATTATAATTGTCTATTTCTTCAATTATAAAGGGTGAAGTAATCGAAAAAAATACGTTACTTTTTTAGCTAAGAACACTTCACATTGCTGTAGCTCTAAACTATCTAAATACATAGTCTTAATATTTATGAAAGAAGATTTTGAAAGGCAATCTTCCATCTAAAGATGCATAACGTGTAATGTTATGAATGGAATATTACACCAAAGTTCATTATAAAATAACTCGAACCATCCTTTGAGTTGGTAGATAGATGCTTCTTAATGCAAAATTTTATATATCAGTACACGAGTTTACTTGGATATCTATTATTATATACATGTATAATTATGCAATACACATAATCAGTGGCATAATCTATTATATAGGTAAAATGACAAACAGTGATACAACACTGGTATAATAAGAGTATAGAGTGACATAGATTTACATTTGCTTTACATGTGTATATATAACATACATAGCTTGCTAGGCCTTCTGCAGTTCATCGTCTAGGTCTTCCTCCACCAGTAAAGCTGGAACGTCGCGATATGACCTATACTGTGTCGATGTGACGTAAAACCCAAAACAAAACAAACAAAAAAGTTCATCGTCTCTTATGGAATGCTTTTTATTTTGGCCTATGGAAGGAGCTGTTATATTAGCAGTTAATGTCATGTTGTGTTAATTATTTATTATATCTTATAATTCTGTTAACATTGGACATACTATACCTCAGTTCAAACATTTGTCTTTTTCACAAAAAGTTGAGTCGAACGTAGTTGAAACTCATCTAGTGGAATGGTATATTTAGATCTTCTTTTATACATTAACTCAGATAAATGCGACACAATGAAAAGAACAACTCGTTCAGTTAGTTAAATGAATGTTTCTCACATAAATATTGTACATCATACATGTATATCATTTACTTACATTGAGAAATGTATATAAAACAAGTGCTTGTTACCAGCAGAAACATCATAATATTGTACGATGCAAAAGTAATTGTCTCCTTAGATTTGAACATAATATGCTCAATGGAAAAAAGGTCAAAGTTTATTGGAAAAAAAGTTTTTGCCAATGTATAATTCAGTGCAAATAATGAAAATTGAATAAGGGCAACCAGTGTTATATAGCTATGCAAATAAGACAAACCTATAAATTCGGTAAATATTGTTAAGCCTGCTAGTCAAGGTGGAGGTCCGTGCAGCTGCATTTTTACTGTCTTTTCTAGATTACTTTAGAGCTTAAGTTAACATTTACTGATGGGTGACTTCCTGACTAAGTCACTTTAGAACCTCGGATGGACACCGGTGATTCTGTTGCTGTCACAGTGAATAACATCCTAACGTTCTCTGATACCTTTCCGCCACAGCTCACAGTAATATTCTTAAACTTGCATCGTACCCGTTCTTCTATTTAAAATCTTTATGCATTTCATGTTTGTTTATAATGTGGAGGCTTCAGTGTATGTTGGGATGGGTTTTTTTCGCGGGAAGTTGGAGACCAGACCGGGCATAATGGACGTCGATGGTTCTTTCATCGAAATATGAGCCGCGTCACGACAAAACCAACATAATGGGTTTGCGACCAGCATGGATCCAGACCAACCTGCGCAACGGCGCAGTCTGATCAGGATCCATGCTGTTCGCTTACAAACCCTATAGCAAGTAGAGAAACTGATAGCGAACAGCATGGATCCTGATCAGACTGCGCGGATGCGCAGGCTGGTCTGGATCCATGCTGGTCGCAAACCCACTGTTGGTGTTGTCGTGACGCGTCTCATTTGATAATTGCAATAATAATACGTTTCTTTATTGACTAGTTAGGAAATCTCTTTACCCCTATGAGGACTTTTTCGTACACGTACGTTCATTAACCCTTTAACTTACATAGGGACGGCATATGTCGTCCCTATTATTTTCGGCGTATTTGCCATATGGACGGCTTTTGCCGTTTCTATAATAATAATAATAATAATAATAATAATAATAATAATAATAATAGTAATAAACATATAGATAATTATACCATCGGAAATAATTATCATATATAAGCAGATTTGGAAACATATATAATTATTATAATACTAATAACAAATAATAATAATTATATTAATTAATAATATAGTAATTTCTTAGAAAACCTTCTGGCAAATAGGTGATCAATAAATAAATAACCCTCTGACAGCGAAATCTACATGTGGAAACTATAAATAAACATAATAATGTTGGCTTCTCTGATTTATCATTAATCTGATATGCTAACTCTCCCCCGGATTTTTGAGCTAGTCATCACAATACGTCAACAACAAGAAAACAAATACAATCTACCTTTCATTTACTTTTGTGGTCACTAGGTGCATGTATATTAATCAACAATACATACTCAAAGAAAACCGAGAAAAATTGCTTTGATTATTTATGAGCAGCAGAGAAAAATGGAGCTTATCAAATTAAAACCGACGTAGTAAATTAGCACCTATCAGGAAACTACTTACACGAATGTTAAAATTTGAAGTTTTATTCTCATTGAAGTCACACACACACAAACAAGCTTCGTTTTCAATATTAATTAAGTCATCTGCTACATTAAGTTGTCTCATTTGCATTTATTTTACTTTTTAGAAACATATGTATAAAATACAATGTACATGTATATCATTAGTAGCAAATTAATTCTCCATATCAACCAATAATTTCACCATGATGTTTTTATTTATAAGACATCAAGTATGCTTGATAAGAAGCTTAGAACTGATCTGCTGCATACCATCTGGCTAGTAAAACAGCTTGCAGACATTGGTGAAATTATTACAACTTAACAGTCATGCAAGTTTACGGGTGGTTACCAGGGTCGAACGAACTCCTATATTGACACTTATTGATAAAACTACTAGACCACTGCATTAAAATTAATATTTTCACGACCATCTTTTAAAAAATAAGTAATAACCAACTGTAAACCTACTAAATTGTACATGCATATATATAAATACATGTATAAGAAAAGAATAAAAACATTTGTTGTGAAGAGAACCGAAAAGGCGAAAGCTACGTACGACGTACTGAAATAGCGTTTTTATACAAGTACACATTTGTATCACAGGCCATATAACGAGCATCTTTATCTTTGTTTGAATAAATGATCAAAATTGAGCCGCGTCACGACAAAACCAACATAATGGGTTTGCGACCAGCATGGACCCAGACCAGTCTGCGCATCCGTGCAGTCTGATCAGGATCTATGCTGTTCGCTTACAAATCCTATAGCAAGTAGAGAAACTGATAGCGAAACAATTATGTTGGTTTTGTCGTGACGCGGCTCAAATAGTATTGCTCATTATACAGCATGCATAAAATAACAAGAAATGTCGAACGACACAAATGCCCCCTTTCTAGCCCTTGACTCACATTATTGGTAATTTTGTTATAGAAACTTGCCATAAATGGTTACATTGAAGTGTTCAATTATGGAAAAAATAAAAATAAAAAAGACTGTGTGATAAATAGTTTTCAAGATAATGAGACATTTAAGGCCCCTGTGACCTAGACCTTTGAACTAGTGACACAAAATCAATAGTGGTCATCTACAAGTAATAATGACCAATCAATATTAGAAATATGAAGACTTTTTGATAAATAGCTTTCAAGATAATAATTGGAAACCATACTAACATTCAAAAACCCTGTGAGCTTGACCTTTGACATTGTAACGCCAAAATCAATAGGGGTAACTTACTAGTTATGACCAATCAGCTAAATGTGAAATAGGAAGACTTTGGAATAAATAGTTTTCAAGATAATGAGAGGAAACCATTCTGACATTTGACCTTTGGTCTAGTGACCCCAAAAGCAATATGGATCATCTGTTGGTTATGACCAATCACTATGTGAAATATGAAGATTTTGTGATAATTATCTTTCAAGATAATGAGCTGAAATCATACTATCATTCAAAGACCCAATGACCTTGACCTTTGACCTGGTGACCCCAAAATCAGTAGGGGTCATCTACTAGTAATGACTAATCAATATGTGAAATATGAAGACTTTTTGATAAATAGTAACCAAGATAATAAGGGGAAGTCATATTACGTACCATTCAAGGCCCCTGTGACCTTGACCTTTGACTAAGTGACCCCAAAATCGATAGGGGTCATCTACTAGTTATGACCAAACAATATGTGAAATATGTAGACTTTGTTATGAATACTTTTCAAGATAATG